CGTGCATGTACAAGTGTATCTGTGTAGCCCTGGATAGCTTCAAATACACAGAGATCCACCTGTCTTTGCCTCCCACGTGCTAGAAAACCCTGAGTCAGGAATGATAGTACCAATGTGTAACCCTGGCACTTTTCAGGGTGAGGCAGGAAGATTGTGGATTCTAAGTCACCATAGGCTACCTCAGATACCAACACCACCATATACCATGCACATGCATTCAAACCACCACTACCACCACACCACACAAAGCAACCTGGAGGAAAGAATTGCAGTTAAATAGAGTTCTTTGGTGCTCTGCCCAGAGACCAGTTTTGTCATTCATTTTCCTGAAAGATGGAATCTGGTACTCTAACCTGGTCTGTTAAATTGTTAAAGTGCAGACTGAGCGATCTGGGACAGGTGACCAGAGGACAGTTTAGCAGAGCTGTCAAGCTTAGCAGAGGTGGTTACTTATCTGCACAGCTTCCCACAGAGCAGAGAAGTTAAAACCCACACTAGAGGTTCCCACATAGGAGCCACTGATTAGCAACCAGAACTTCCTTTTAGAAGGTGATGCTTTGCCAAGTCATGGCACTCAGCCCTGTCCCCTTACTATTGGGCCCCACAGACTCCTCTGGACACTGAGAACATCCTGTGTGGGCCCCTTTACACAGGGCAGACTACAAAGAACCTAAGATATCAACTCCCTCAGTAGCTGGGAATCTCTGTCCCCAAACCACAACTTGCACCCACGAGAGGGCCCCTTAACAAAATCCTGTGCTCGGGGTAAGGGCTCTATTAGCACACATCCTGTTGGCACCTTTACAAGGACAACTGCTTTGAACCCTTTGTAACCATAGCAAACACATCTCCTTCAACTTCCCTCTACATGCTAAGTGAAGATGGGGAGAGGGAAGCTGTGGACCCTCCTTGGCTCTTCTAGCCCAGTGGTTCTCAACCTTCCCAGTGCTGCAACCCTTTAATACAGTTCTTCATGTTATGGTGACCCCCCCAACCATAAAATTATTTTTGTTGCTACTTCAGAACTGTTTGGTATTGTTATGAATCATAATGTAGATATCTGTGTTTTCTGGTGGT